ATAGATAGATAGATAGATAGATAGATAGATAGATAGATAGATAGATAGATAGGGTGAAGAATGATAGAGGAAGACACCCAGATATTGGGTGACCTGTGCATGGGCACTTGTACACAGACATACACGGATGGACACACACACACACACACACAATGGCCCTGGTGGACAATGTCTTTATTCCCAGCACAGCGCTTGGGTGATAGAGGCAGAAAGATGATGTCAAGACACACAGTAAGTTCAAGACCCACCTGGGCCACAGAGACTCTGTTTCGTTTCTTTCTCTCTCTCTCTCTCTCTCTTTCTTTCTTTTTTTATTTTCCCACAAGACAGGGTTTCTCTGCGTAGCCCTGGCTGTCCTGAAACTCACTCTATAGACCAGGCTGGCCTCAAACTCACAGAGATCCGCTTGCCTCTGCCTCCCGAGCGTTGTTTAAAAGATAAAAAAAAAAAAAAAAAAAAAATAGGGCTAGAAAGATGGCTCAGTGGTTAAGAACACTTATTCACTTATTGCTTTTGCAGAGGACCGAGGCTCGGTTCCCAACACCCACACGGTGGCTCACAACTGTCTGTTATTTCCATTCCAAGCGATCTGGCCTCTGCAAGCTCCTGGACACACATGGTCCACATGAACTCAAGGAAGCAGATACACGTAACGTAAACAAAATAAGTAACAGATGATGAAATACTGTTATCAGATGATGACTAAATCATTAGTAACAATCCACTCTAGTAGCAGCCTTCAGCCTGGCCGCTTCAGAGAGCACTGAGGACGCCACGCACGCACCCGCACCACCACAAACCGCACGGGAGGACACACACCTCACAGAACTCCAGAGCACAGCAGTAATGGCAAGAGGGACGTGTCTGGGCCCTTGCCTTGCTCAATTCCTTAATGGTCGGTTAGCATCAGCCCACTTTACAGAGAACACTGAGGCAGGGGGGAATTCATTCACTGGTCTGAGGCGAGCCGCTAAGTCAGCAGCTGGAAATCAAACTGAGCCTCACGTCCTCAGACATTCACCCCGAGACGCACGCTCTGCTGTGTGATTTTGCCTACGTTCCTGGTGAAGAAAGGTCTGGGGTGCCGGGGGATAGGGCCTTCCCTTTGGCCCTGGCTTCTGACATATGCCTTGGCTTGACCAGCAGGGCTGAGTGGGCAGCACTGCCTGGCCAATCCTGAGCCTTGGACAGGGAGGCTGCGCGGGCTTTCTGCGATGTTAGGCCCAGGGCCACAGCCAGCTCCAGCAGCCGGTGATGCCCATCACCACGACACGCCTAAAACTTGCGTGTGCCAGCTGAGGCCTGGGGAACCGAGCAATCGGGTCTAATCTAAACCACCAAACGCTTGCCTTTGCAGCTAGACCCGTCTGAGCGTCTTAAGAGGGCGAGTCGGCTGGGGCGATTTGTTACGCAGCACGCCAGCGGCGCGCTGTCGCCTCTGGACCCCTGACACATGATAAAAACCTGTTTTGCAGGGGAAGGTGACATCAAGTATGTCTCCAACACGACCGCCACACGCACAGCCCAGGCCCACTTCTGAGACCCAGACAGCGTCTAACTCGGGAGAGTTTAAGATGCTGAGAAGGTCGGAAGTCGCGGCCGAGGGTGGTGGGGTCATTCCTCTAGGCGGGCACCCTAAGACCACTGCTCTTCTTCTTTCATAGAAAGCTGAGCGTGACCACACCGCTATCTCTGAGCCCCTTTCCCGTCTCTGCTGTTGACTGGGTCATCTGTGACACTCCTAAGGGTGTGTGAAGACGAAATGAGTTGCTCCCTCAGCCAGCATGGTATCTGGTACACAGCAAGCCCTCGGTGCCTCGCTCTCCTATTCTTCTCTTCCCCTCGCAGGGTCGGGATCGCACCCAGAGCCTCACCGCCATGTGTTCCACAGGGAGACACACAGCCAGGCAGCTCTGAGTTTCCCCCCTTTCTCCTCTTAGCAAGACCGGGGCGGGGGCCGCTCAACAGTCAAGAAGAGGTGGCTTCAGCGCTTTATCCTGGCGGTGTGGAAACCCAGCATCTTCAGCTAGGATTGTCTGTGCTCTCATTTCCTCCCCTTTGAATGGGTGGTCACAACCGTTTCCCGGGGGAAGATACTCGGGCCAAAGGAGGCGCTTGGCACTGGCGAGCTCTCGCTGGGCCCAGGTTGCAGCTCAGGCCTTTCGCGGGTGGATGGGAAACGGGGTCCTAAGCGGCTCCGGCGAAGGCCGGGGGGGAGCTGAGCCGCGAGGCTTTAACCCTCCCGAAGCCGCGCCTCTCCGCCGCGGTGGTCCCGTCACCCCGCGGAGGAGGGGGCCGGGGAGGATGAGGCCTGGGATGACCGGCGCCGGGCTCAGAGCTGGGCTGGGAGGGGGTGAGGGCTTCCCTGACCGCTGCACCCCGAGCCTCCGCCCGGCTGCAGGGACCCGGGGAGGGGGGGCTCGGGCCGGCCGAGGATGCCGCGGAGGATGCAGGGGAGGATGCGGGCGGGGGTGCAGGCCGGGCGGGGAGATGCCCGGGAGGATGCAGGCCGGGCCGCTCACCTGCGCGCCGCCGCGGTCCCCGGGGCTCGCCGCGCACACCGCCCTCCGTGCGGGCATCCGTCGGGCTGCTCGGCCGGATCCGCATGCGCCGCCGCCGCCGCGCGCCCCCGGGACCCCTCCCGCGCGCCGTCCCACACTCCCACGCTGCCGCTCACACGCCGGGCCGCCGGCAACGTCACGCACTCTCTGCACACACGCCCACTCCCTCTCGCGGTGTCACTCCTCCACGCCCTCCCGGGGAAGGGGGCGTCGCTGGGGGTCGAGTCCTCTGCAGCGGTCTCCCCCCCGGAATGTGAGCCGCAGGGCCATCCCCTGTGACACGCTCGGGTACTGTGGTAAGCCCGGACACAGCCGCCAGCACAATGGAGGTCACGTGAAGGCGCCTGAGCAGGTCACCCTGGGACACACGCGGTTAAGGTCCCCGCCGCCAGCGCTGACCCGCGCAGCCGTGCACAGCCGCGCACCGTGACACACTCAGGTCCAGCCACCAGCGCACACACCGCGCTTGGCACTCACGCGCACACTCGCCGCGCGCTCCCAAGGTGTCACGGAGCGTCCGCACCCACACGTCACGAGGCTCACAGTCTCACACGCTTGAAATGTCGCCCGGGCACTAGAGGTGGCCCACGCTGCGTTGCCACACGCTCACCCATACCCCGTTATCACACCCCCATCCCGCTCTCCCTTGCAGCCTGGCTCACGCACAGCTCGCTCTCCCGCCGCACGGCGCGGGCTGACCCAGTGCCCCTCGCGGGACCACCCCGTGGACGGCGAGCCATGCCCACACAGCGCGCGCTGCAGCACGAGAAATGGAACTGGGTGTCGCCCAAAACTGTGCGGTCCCTTGCGGTCACCGGGGGTCACACAGGTGCAGGATCACACCCACACACGCGTCTCTTCCTCGTTGGGAGGAGGCTCTGCGGGAGGCTAGCGGTAGGGTCAGGGGGCGTGGGCAAAGCAGCTGGGCGGGACGCCAGGAGGCCCCGCCCCGCCCCGCCCCGCCCCGCCCCGGGGCGGTGGCGTGGCCGTTAAGCCTGCGCGCCTATCGGACGAGGCGGGCTGACTCAGCCCCGCCCACTCGCGCGCTTTCCCGCGGGAGGCGTGGTCGGCTCGGTCCCGCCCTTTGAACCCAGGACGGAGGGGGCGAGGCTGAGGGAGGAGCCTCCCGGCCCCGCCCCTCCCTCTGAGTAGGGCACAGAACGCGCCACCTTTGCAGCCACTGGGTTCCCGCGCGTCCCCGGAGTTCTCAGCCTTCCCGACCACGGGCCCCGCAGCATGGCTGTCAAGAAGATCGCGATCTTCGGTGCCACCGGAAGGACCGGGCTCACCACCCTGGCGCAGGCGGTGCAAGCAGGCAGGAGCCGGGGCGGCTGGGGGAAGTCACGAGCGCCCGGGCGGAGCTCTGGGAAGGGTCGTCCTGGGGCTGGGCGGAGAGCGCACGGGGCTGTGTGTGCCCAGGCCTGTAGGCCAACCAGTGGTCACGGGGACAGCAGTGGAGGACGCGCAGATTCGGTTCTATGTGAGTCCGAGGCGTAAGAATTAACCGTGGGAACGTGGAGGACTCCTCTGACACTTACATGCAAGCAGGGGCTCGTGTGAAAAGTGGCTGACTGTGGGTGCTGGTCCTAGTTAACACGCCTGGAAAGGGCTCTCTGAGCCAGTACCAGATGGGCGCCCAGCCGGCCCGGCCGTCTCCCTGCACGTGCTAAAATCCCGGTGACCCTCATTTGGAATGGGAACTAGTATTACTCCGCTTGACGGATAAGAAAACCGAGGCAGAGAGAATGACTTGCTGGTACATAGCTAAGCCAGGATTTGAACTCGGTTCGTGCCCTTAAAAAACCGTCCACAGGTTTATAGCTTGGTCACTGGAACAGAAACTTAATCTAAAAGGAAGAGATCGAACTACCAGAGAGTCACATCGAAGGGAGTGCAGCCGCGGGAACGGCGTTGGGCCGCCCTGGGAGAGGAAGCAGGGTCCCCCAGCACCCCCTGGCCCCTCAGTCTAGAAGTTAACTCTCGACCAGGCCTGCAAGTTCCAGATAAAGAGCCACACCCTTGCTGGCCTTGGCGATTCCTGAGGTACAGATTATCACACCTCCCCAAAAGGGCGGAAACCACCAGGAGCTCAGTCCCCGCAGATCCGGGCCCAGCCCCTGCTCTGGGTGAGGCTCTTTCTCCCCAGGGACTCAGTCAGGGCCTTTTAATTCAGGGCGAGGGAGAGAGCCCTGGGGCTCCCAGTGAAAACCAAGTTGCTGCTGACTGTAGTGTTGTGCACCTGTGACCACACACTCACACACGCACACACACACACTAGAGAGGCACAGACAGGCAACTCGGGAGGTCAAAACTGTCTTTGACTTCGCAGCAAGTTAAAGGCCATCGAGTACTGCCTTAGACCCTGTCTCAAAACAAAGCAAAAGCAAGCTGCTGAGGAATCATTTCTAGGGAGGAACAGGGAAGGGAAAGGAGAAGCTGAAAAGTGCTGTGTCACCATGAATTTGTGGATTATCGTGTTAAATACCATCACCTTAATCCCCAAAATCAAAACCACTGTTTACCAATGGCTCTCCCTGCTGGGCTCGGCCGGAACTGCACATAGGAGTTCCGGGTGGCCCGGCCTTTTCTCCCGGTGGCCTAGCAAGGCCGCTGTCAGAAACCAGGAAGAGATAAAAGACAAACAAGAGGCAGGGAAGGATCTGGGGATCTAGCTCAGAGGTGGAGCACCTGCGTGGAATCCCCCTGTGAGAAGAGGCCCCATTGCCCAAGGCCCTGTGCCCAACCAAGGAAAACCAAAGAATAAAAGACAACCTGAGTTGAATGCCCAGGAGAGAACCAAGTCAGGAAAGTTGACCTCTGACTTCCATACATGCACACAAATAAATAAAGTAATAAATAAACAGCGCAGAGGTTGCTGGCAGGGTAGGGCGCACGCCTTTACTCCCAGCACTCAGGAGGCAGAGGCAGGTGGGTCTCTAAATTTGAGGTCAGAGCTCAGCATGTTCTACAGAGTGAGATCCAGGACAGCCAGAGCTGCACAGAAACTGTGTCTCAACAAAGAAAAACCAGCAGCAACAACAACAAAACAGGCTGCCTTGGGGCACTGATGAAATGACTTAGAGTGTAGACAGTGCTTAGACAGAAGGCCCATGGATAGTTGGTGTGATGATCCTTGGCCTGCCGAACTCAGATTAAAGATTATAGTCCAGTCCTGAATTTAGCCCTGGGTTTCTCTACTCGGGAACTGTATGCTCATGGCTACTTAACCTAAACTTGCCTCAGTTTCCCTATCTTCAAAGTAGGCAAGATAATAATAGCTGCTTTGTAAAACTGTTGCAACCTGGGGGTCAGGGTGAGTTTTGGAATGTTTCAAATTGGTCACAAAGGATCAAAATGTATCAAGTTGCCGTGGGCATCGACAGAGCGTGAGCCTAGGCCCTCAGTAAGACGGTTAAAGGAGATGAGCTCGATGTAGACGTGTTGAGAAGGTAGTCCCCTACTTAAGCCTGTATGTCAACGTCTTGACAGAAGGCTTAAGCGTAAAGAAAGGCAAAGGTGTCCATCCACAAGCAGTCTCTTGGCTTCACAAGTTGACCCATGCCCTCCAAGGTGTCTGACAAGTTGTCAAAAGGCGCCGTGAAATCTCTTTCTCTTCTGGCTGGCACAGCCGAAGCCGCCTCCTCCTCCTCCTCCCGCCAGCATGAGATGTTTGGGGAAGTCGTGATTTGGGGAACTTCATAGTTTCAAGCAGTCTGATTATCATCTCCACTCCTGCCAGGGTAGTTACCACATGCCCAATGTTGGTTTGATATAGGGATTTATGTGTACTGGTTCGGCAGGGAAATTTTGTATTGGGGATTTTTTTTTTGGACACTTGAAAGAGTGTGGATAGAGGATGAGAAAAGCCTATAATCCCAGCAGTCAGAAAATGGAAGATCAGCTCCCAGCTACTTTTGGGAGCTGTGTAATACTTTGTCTCAAAAAATAAAAAAAAAGGGGGGCTGGAGAGATGGCTCAGAGGTTAAGAGCCGTCTCAGCCCTGCACATGGCTCTCCTGATTTCCGTGTAAATTGTGTGGTTTGTTTGTTCGGTTTTGAGGCAGCGTCCGGCTATGTAGTCCTGGCTAGCCTGGAACTCCCTACATAGACGATGCTGGCTTTGAACTCCTAGAGATCCACCTGCCTCGGCCTCCTGAGTGCTGGGATTAAGGTTGAGCAGCAGAAGCTGCTGTCTAGGCAACAGTTTGTTTGGTGAAGCCCCTCCTCCGGTAGCTACAGGCCATCTTGAGGGCAGGTCCATGGGGGCAGGGAACTGTGTTTGTGACCTGTGAGTGAGAGCCTTGGAAGCCCCTGGACTCCCGAGGCTCTCAGCTTCCCTAGATCAGCAGAGAGTCAAGATGGAGCAAGGAAGTGATTTAGGGACCCAGGGGGAAGGGGTCTGAGGCGGAGAGCACACAGCGTGTGCAAAGGCCGGGAGGCAGGTAACGGTGAGGTAAACTGAGGAACTGGACAGCGTACAGCAGGTGAAGGAATGGTGACTGAGAGGAGAAGCCGGAGGGGCCCAGACCGGTTGTCCCGAGCAATGTGAGTTTTACTGCAAATATAGACGGATCCGGAAGGCCCTGGGCAGTGTTGCTGCTGTCTGGACTGCGGGTTTGGAGGGAGCAGAACAGGGAGGACCCAGGCAGGGGATGAATACGAGGACTCTGGGTGAGTTCACACAGGAAAAAAAAAATCCCAAGATGGTTAAAAACATGGTATCTCATGCTCCTCATCCCAGTAGATGAGAAGGTGAGGCAGGAGGATTGCTCAAGGCCAGCCTGGGCTACAATGTGAGACCCTGTCGTAAAATAACAACAATAACAAATAATGATAGTATTTTAAAATTAAAACTGGGGTCTGAAGAGATGGCTCAGTGGTTAAAAGCCCTTGCTGCTCTTGCAGAGGACCCGTGTTCAATTCCCAGCTCCAACATCAGGCAATCTGTGACTCCAGCATCTCTGGCCTCCATGGGCCCCTGTCCTCCACTGCACAGATGCATTCACATAATTTTAAAAAAATAAGTAAATAAAAATATTTGGGTTTTTTTTTTTTTTTAATGAGTTAAAACTGGGTGATTAAAACTTGAAATCCCAGCTCTCTGGATGTGGACAGCTGGAGGCGCAGGCCCATCCCCCTCTCCGCTGCTGTGAGTAAAAGGCCAGGCTGGGTTATCTAAAGCCCTGTCTCAAAAAGGAAAAGAAGAGACAAGACACACTAACGATAGCAACAGTCCTTGATAATTTCAGGACTGGAGGTTCGATTACTTTGGTTTACTATGGCTTGGTTCTTACGCAGTTTTGGTTGTTTGTTTTGGTTTTGGTTTTTCTATATGGGATTCAAATCTAGTGGCTTACTTGTGCAAGCATTTTATGGCTGAGATGTATGCTTTTTTTTTTTTTCATGTTTATACTTTTAGTTTCCTGGGTTTTGGTTTGGTTTTGTTTGGGGGTTTTTTGTTTGTTTGTTTCAGTGTGTGTCTAATATTTCTTTTTAGGTTTTTTTTTTTTTTTTTGTATTTTTTGTTCTATGTAGTGTGTGTTTATGTGTGAGTATATGCAGGTGATGAACAGGTGACGGAGGTGTCAGATCCCTGAGGCTGAGGTTGCAGTTGTGAGCTCCCTGACTTGGGTGGAGGAACCACTGAGCCAGCTCCCTGGGATAGTTTGTTTGTCTGCTTGCTTGCTTTAAGAGCTTCTAAAACTTACGGACAATCATGGTGGCACAGAGGCAGGGTCATGAAGATCTCCGTGAGTCCAAGGCCAGCCACGTCTACAAAAAGAGTTCCAGGACAGCCAGGGCTATATAGAGACTCTGTCAGCAGCCCTCTCCCCATATATTTTTTAAATTTTATCTTACTATGTCTGGGTGTTTTGCCTGCCTGTATACACGCCTGGTGGGCGCAGAGGTCAGAATTGGGCATCAGATCCCCTGGGACTGGAGTTCCTTGACAGCTGCCACGTGTGTGGTAAGAATCGAAGCTGGCTCCTCCACAAAATCTGCTTTTAACCGCTGAGCCATCTCTTCAGACCCTAGTTTGTTGGTTTTTAAGGCAGGGTCTCACCAGTAGGCCAGACTGGTTCCGAGCTTCCGGTTGCTGTGCCACAGCTTCCCAACCTCCGAGATTAAGACTGGCTCTGGTTGCCACGCCTGGTGTGACTAGGCTTTTGTTTCTGTTTGGTTTTCAAGATAGGGTTTCTCCGTGTAGCCCTGGCTGTCCTGGAACTCGCTCTGTAGACCAGGCTGGCCTCGAACTCACGGCGTTCTGCCTGTCTCCGCCTCCCGAGTGCTATAGTTAGAGGTATGGTCCACCACCGCCTGGCTGACATCAATATGTATTTGTTTGTACTGTCAAACAGACGGTACTGCATTGTATGGGTGAATATATCAAACAGTTGGCGGTTTATAAACGCCGCTGGTATGGTGGCCGTGCTAGGCACGTGAACATTTTGGAGTGAAAACATGTTTTCGCTCCCCTTCAGCCTGTTATCTGATGCTGGGTCACGTGGGCAGGCTGTGTGCAAGCTTCTGAAAAACTGCCAGAATGTCCTCCAGAGTAGTCACCTCATCAAGTGTGGCCCTCCGGGTGCATGGGTGGGGTTCCTCCCTCCCTGCAGCATGCCGGCCCTCACACCAGGCTCTACTCCCGTCATCGTGATAGGGTTGACGTGGCATAGGTGTGTGTAGTCTGTTGGTTTGGCCGGGGGATGGCTTTGATTTTTAAGACTGGCTGCCATGTAGCTCAGGCTGGCCTTGAACTCCCTGCTCTTCAGGGTTTTGCTGTGTAGCTCTGTGGTCCTGGCTGTCCTGACACTGTGTGGCTGTGTGGCCTCCAATTTAGGACGGTCCTCTTGCTCCCGTGTGGTGGAACTACAACTCCACACTTCCTTTGTTTTTCTTTTTTTACTACATTTTATTTGTTTACTGTGTGTGTCCACTTACAGAGGTCAGAGGACCACTTTCAGGAGTCCGCTCTGTCCCTCCACCGTGTTGTCGGTCCTGGGCGTCCCAGTCAGAGCCTCAGTGACTCTACCCACTGAGCCATATTGCCGGCCCTTTTGCTTCTCCTTCCTTCCTTCCTTCCTTCCTTCCTTCCTTCCTTCTTTCTTTCTTTCTTTCTTCCTTTCTTTTGAGGTATGGTTTACTACGTAGCAAAGGTTGTCCTTGAACTCGTGATGCTTCTGCCTTTGCTGCCGGAGTGCTGGGATTACAGGCAGGCGTGTGCTACCATGCCCTTCTGCTTTCCTTTCCTCCTTTAATTTTGCATGTGGGCGGGTGGTCAGATGGGGAGGGGGAGGAGAGGGTGTTCATTTAAAAATGCCACATATGCAGATCTGATATGAAAGAGATTTATTGAGAGAAAGAGAGGGAGATGGGGGGAGGGTGCTCAGGAAACTGGGAGAAACGGAGGCAGAGAGAGCAGGAGAGCAGAGAGAGAGTAGGTGGAGTAGTTACATCTGAAGCACCTGGTGCAGGGGGAGTCGTAGGACACAGGTAATGACGTAGGACGTTGTCAGGCCTAAGGGCTGGCCAGTTGAATTGCCCACCCAACATAACATTCCTCCTTAATTAAAAAAAGAGGAGGGGGCTGGAGAGATGGCTCAGAGGTTAAGAGCACTGGCTGTTCTTCCAGAGGTCCTGAGTTCAATTCCCAGCCACCACATGGTGGCTCACAACCATGAGTTCTGATATGCAGGTGTACATGCAGGCAGAACACTGTATACATAATAAATAAATAAATCTTTAAAAATGAGGCAGTAGGGCAGGGTGGCAAGGCGGGACTGAGGACGTTGGATGCTTCTCACGTAAAGCAAGTTAAGGTCTATGAATGTAGGCTCATTGGAAGCAGCTCTTGGTTGCCATGTAAGGGGTGAGAGAGAGAGGAAAACAGTAAGGGTTCCAAAATGTCCAGATCCCGTGGTGAGGAGGGGAAGCCCCTGCCCTGGAATGTTCAGGGTAGAGGGTGGAGTTGCCAGCCATGCCCAGCAGCAGACAGGGACTGAGGAATGCTGGGAGAGCCTGGAGCTGTCGGTCCGGGGCCTGAAGCACACCATTCCGGCCTTTTGTTGATAATGAATGGATATTGGGCAAGGATATCAATCCTGTTTGGCTATTTCCTGCTGACACTGGGCAGCGACAGGGGGGTCAAAAGGCTGAAATGTTGGCTGTTGTACTTACTGTCCAGGATGTGAGAACATTCGTGGCCGGGAGTGAAAGCGCAGGTCCGGCTTGGCGCAGTCTGGGAGGTTAGACCGGAGCACTGCAGGTAGCTGCTTTGTCGCTGTCCAAATGTGGGAAGGACCTGGGTCTGGCAGGGTACTGGACCGCAGATGTGGGCAAAAGACAAAGTAAAGCAGATGAGGGAGAAAATTCATTTCAGGTGTTCATTTGAAACCTTGGGAGAGCGAGCAGAGAGGGAAGATTTGGGGGCAAAGAAAAGAAGCGTGAACGTAGGGAAACTCCATTTACCCGATCACTGACGGTAATTAAAAAGGTTTTGCTCGGATCTGTCCTCTAAGGGATTCTGAGGCCTAGTTTGGTTGCAGAGGCACGTAAACTTAGAAGCCCTTCAAGGGGGCTGCAGGGGTAGAAATCTGCAAGTCTCCAGAAGGCATCGCAGAGGAGTGCCTGGAGGGATGGGCGGATGGCCTATTCCCGTTGGTCAGGTTGGAGTCAGTGACCGGCTGCTGGAACAGACTACCAATGTACTGAGCCAAGCCTTGCTCTTGGGGCGCCCTGACAGAGCAAGGGAATGAAGAAGCGGGGGGGGGCGGGGGGTCTAAGGGCTCACAGCACCCTGTAGGATCCTGTGCGCTCACCCACCAGCTCGCCGACCTCTGATCTGCCTTTCTGCTCCTCTTTGTCCTCAGGTTACGAGGTGACGGTGCTGGTTCGAGACCCCGGCAAGCTGCCGTCAGAGGGGCCCCAGCCAGCCCACGTGGTGGTGGGAGACGTTCGGCAGATGGCCGATGTGGACAAGACCGTGGCTGGGCAGGACGCCATCGTCGTGCTGCTGGGCACTGGCAACGACCTCAGTACTGAGCCCCCGCTTTGCCCTCGGCCCCTCCCCGCACCTCGGCCTCCAGCACCACCCCCGCCCCCGGCCCCGCCCCTGCCACCCCTGCCACCGCCTCCGCCACCGCCTGCCAGTGACAGCCACTCTCTGTCCCCTCTAAGGTCCCACTACAGTAATGTCCGAGGGCGCCCGGAACATTGTGGCAGCCATGAAGGCGCACGGAGTGGACAAGGTCGTGGCCTGCACCTCGGGTGGGTGGTGGGGTCACGGAAGTGGGGCTGGCTGGGAAGGGGGTGAGTACTAAACACGTAACCCCCAGTCCTCTGGAATGTGGTGCTAAAGCTATCCCAAATCACCACACATGGATGGAGCGAGCACCAACCGTGAGCCTAGCCGGGAGTCCTGGACTCTGCACCCACGCGAGTCACCGCAGGGCAGTGCTGCGGAGGCAGAGGCAGGCGAGCTGTGGGGTTGAGGCCAGCCTAGTCTACAGTGAGTTCCAGGACAGCCAGGGACAAAACAGAGAAACCCTGTCTCAAAAAGGAAAAAAAAAAAGAGTAAGGTGAGAAACAGATCCACGGCGGAACTGACATCCCTGATAAGCAGAGCTAGGGTAGAAAAGGCACGGCACAGCCCACGATGGTGGCGGTCGCCGATAGTCCCAGCACTCGGGGAGGCAGACGCAGGTGGATCTCTCCGAGGTTGAGGCCAGCCTGGTCTACAGAGTGAGTCCAGGACAGCCAAGGCTAAACGGGGAAACCCTGTCTCAAAAAAAAGAAAAGAAAAGGCATTGCAGAGATATCATGGACAAGAGCCCCTGGAGCCCCTGCCTAGAAGTCCCCAGTGAGGGGCTGCACTGTCAGCATGTACTCGGTCCTAGGTTCCATTCTCAGGACTGACATAATCCTCAGGAATACAGAAGGGAATAACAATAGCAACTAAGATTTATTTTATTCTTTTTATGTATATGAGTGTTCTCTCTGCAGCCAGAAGGGGGCAACAGATCCCAGTATAGACGGTTGTGAGCCACCGTGTGGTTGCCGGGAATTGAACTCAGGACCTCTGGAAGAGCAGACAGTGCTCTTAACCACTGAGCCATCTCTCCAGCCCCAACAGTAGCAATTAATGCTAAAAGAATTTTTATTGAGCCCTTACTGAGTTTCAGGTGCTTAGGAACGAAAGCTCTTTAATCCCCCAATACTGCTCGAAGTGTGCGAGAAGCAGAGCAGATGTTTGTGAGACACCAGCTGTTATGTCCCTTGGTTTGTTCAAGACCACAGCACAGAGAGGCCGGTTGGTGACTCTCAGGACGCTGATGGAGCTAGTCGGCTAAGGGTTGGGATGTGCCAAGCTGTCTCGGCACCTGCTGGCTTCACTGCTAGTCTCCCTGGGAAGGGAGGAGGCAGGAGGAGGGCTTCATGGTTCTGGCAGCTCAGAGAACACGAGAAGTTCATTAACGCTGTTTCTCTCTCGTTTACAAAGAAAAATGGCCCCAAATCTGTGATTTTAGAATGGTTTGGTTGTTTTGGTTTTTGTTTTTAGAGTTATTTATTATATATACAGTATTCTGCCTCCATGTATGCCTGCATGCCGAAGAGGGCACCAGATCTCACTACAGATGGTTGTGAGCCACCAGGTGGTTGCTGGAAATTGAACTCGGGACCTTTGGAAGAAGAGCCAGTGCTCTTAACCTCTGAGCCATCTCTCCAGCCCAGTTTGGTTGTTTTTGTTTTGATCCTCTTTTTTATTTTGTGTTTATTTTTTATAATTTTCTTTAAATGTGCATTGGTGTTTTGTCTGCATGTCTGTCTGTCTGTGTGACTGTCAGATCTTGCAGTTACAGACAGTGTGAGCTGCCATGTGTGTGTGCTGAGAATTGGACCCGGGTCCCCTAGAAGAGCAGTCAGAACTCTTAACCACTGAGCCATCTCTCCAGCCCTGCATTTATTTATTTTATTTAACTTTACTTATTTTTATGTGTATGAGTGCTTTGCCTGCATGTTAGTCTGGTACTATTTGTGCCTGGGGCCCACTGTGGCCAGAAGACCCCTCGGAGCTGGAGTCACAGGCAGCTGTGAGCCACCATGTGGGTGCTGGGCGTCGAATGCAGAGCCTCTGCAAAAGCCGGGCATGCCCTTCAGTGCTGGTTGGACACACCGGCACCGGGATCCACGATCCTTACTGCTGAGCCGGCGCAGCGGCTCAGCCAGCAAAAGGCTCGCTGTGCAGTCGTAAGGACTGAATTCATGCCCTGAGTGCCCACATAAAAAGCCACGTGTCCTTTTACTCCTGTAATCCTAGCTGTAGGGAGGTAGGAGCAGGAAGAGCCCGGGGCGTGCTGGTCAGCAGTCTAGCCAAATTTCTTGATTAGGAGTTTCGGGGGACTGCATATGGGGGCCAGGCGACAACTTGGTGGGGTCAGCGCTCCTTCTCCGCCATATGGCCTCTTACCACATGCCCGGGTAAGGCTTGCTGCCCTGCGCTCTGGCAGCTGCGAGGCAAAGGTAAGCCACCCAGGCTCACCCTGCGCTGTGTCTGCCCCCTTTAGCCTTCCTACTGTGGGACCCGGCCAAGGTGCCCCCTCGCCTGCAGGACGTGACGGATGACCACATCCGGATGCACAAGGTGCTGCAGGAGTCAGGCCTGAAGTACGTGGCCGTGATGCCCCCGCACATAGGTGAGTGGGTTGGGGACCCTGTCGCAGTGTTACCAGCCTGTCCTCTACCGGAGAGCCCGGCCTGGCCATTCCTGGCTCCTCTAAAACTGCCAACACTGGGTTCACAGCCAGGTGCACTCCCAGGCCTGAGTTCAATTCCCGAGAGCCCACATGGTGGAAGAAGAGAACGGCCTCCTAAGAGTTGCCCTTTGGCCCCCACATATGAGCTCTGGCATGTGACGCCCTCCTCAACAAGTAGATAAAAATGTAATTGAAAAAAAAAATGTTTTCAAAAGGAGAAGGCAAGTATGTGATGCTCACCCATAATTCCAGAATTTGGGAGCTCACAGGAGGATCACTAGTCCTGGCCTAGCTAGCCTCAGTTTTGAGTCTATGCTTCAAAAATCCAAAACAGAACGAAAGAAAAGTAGTAAATAATTTTCTCTTCTTCCTTGCCTTATTTCATCTTGTGCTTTATGTCGCCCAGTCTGACCTTGAAGGTATGGTTTGGATGACCTTGAACTTCTGATCCCCCAGTCTCCGCCTCCCAAATGCTAAAATTACAAATTTTCAGCACCACACCTGGTTTGGGATTTTTTGCTTGGTTGGTTGGTTGGTTGGGTTGGTTTTTATCGTTTTCATATGTGTGTGGTATTTGTCGTGTGTTTTGTCTGTATGTGCGGTACCTGAGGAGGCCAGAAGAGGGTTTGGACCCGGACCCCCCCCCCCAACTAGTTTCAGGCTACGCACCACTATGTGGGCGCTAGGAATGGAACCTGTGTCCTCTGGAGGAGCAGCCAGTGCTCTTAACCTCTGAGCCGTCTCTCCAGCCATATGCCTGATTTGGTTGGTCTACTGTTCTGCTGTCTCTCTGTAACAAGTCACCTGGAATGCGGATGTTAAAAATGACCATTTTTTTTCTTTTTTTAAGATTTATTTTTAACTGGGAAATGGTGATACACACCTTTAATCCCAGCACTTGGGAGGCAGAGGCAGGGGGATCACTGCAAGTTCAAGGTCTGCAGCCTGGAAGCCAGGGATACACAGAGAAGCCCTGTCTCAAAAAAACAACAACAAAAATATTTTTATTATTTTTTTATAGGGTCTTATTTAGGCCAAGCTTTTAAATGTTTTGTTGTGGTTGTTTTTGTTGTCTTGAGACAGGGCCTCTCTGCATAGCCCTGGCTGTCCTAGAACTCCCTGTGTAGACCAGGCTGGCCTCAAACCCCCAGAGACGTGCCTGCCTCTTCACCAGAGTTCTCGAAAAGCAGACGTTAGTAACAACCGAGCCATCTCTCCAGCCAGCGCTGTTACTTTAAATGTGTGTATGTGAGTGGGTATGTGAGCCCACAGAAGCCAGAAGTATTGGGTGCCTAGAGCGGTGGTTCTCCAATCTCCCTAACGCTGTGCCCCTTTAACACAGTTCCTCCTGTTGTGGTACCCCCCCAACTATAAAAATTGTTTTTTGTTGCTACTTCACAACTACAGTTTTTCCACGGTTATGAATTGTAATGGAAATGACTCTGGAGATAAAGGTTTGTCAGGCGGGTCGAGACCCACAGGTTGGGAACCATTGCCCTAGAGTTACAGGCAGTCGTAAGATGGCTGACGTGAGTGCTGGGAACCAAACTCAGTCCTTCTGAACCCGCAGTAAGTGCTCTTTAGCACTGAGCCATCTGGCCAGCCCCAAAATCACCATTGTGTCATTGTTTCCTGATAATGGAAGTCAAGGTGGCCTTTGCATGAGGGTTTCTTTCTTTTTTTTTTTTTTTTAAAAAAAAAAAAGCTTTTTTTATTTGTGTATATAAGCACTCTATTTGCATGTATGCCTGCATGACAGACAAGAGCCTCATCGGACAGAAGAGGGCCCCAGATCCCAGTATAGATGGTTGAGAGCCACCACGGGCTCCTGGGAATTGAACTCAGGACCTCTGGAGGATCAGCCTGTGTTCTTAACCGCTGAGCGATCACTCCAGCCCTATGTGGGTTTCCTGACATGTGCATTCAGAAGGTGGCGGGGACTGTAGTGACAGACCTGAAGAGAGATTCGGTTAGTGTGCTAGGACACCTGCGTGGGAGGTCCCCCTGTGTGACCAGCACTTTCTCACCCTCCTGCAGCCGGGCTCCCAGGAAAAAAACCTCAGGAGATGCCAGACAAGGGGGTACACACCAGTCATCCCAGACCATGTGTCTGAGGCCAGCCTGGGCTACACAGCAAGTCTCAGTCTCCAAAAAATTAAAAATAAGAAAAATTATGTGGTGAACTATGTAGAAAGCTTCCCCCCCACCCCAGACACACACCTCATATACAAAACTTTAAAGTTTAGAAGAAGAAAACCGGAAACGGAAAGGATGGCAGGTTCACTCTTTGCGGTGTCTTTCTCTCCCAGGGGACCAGCCACTAACCGGGGCGTACACGGTGACCCTGGATGGACGAGGGCCCTCGAGGGTCATATCCAAGCATGACCTGGGCCACTTCATGCTCCGCTGCCTCACCACCGATGAGTATGACGGGCACAGCACCTACCCCTCCCACCAGTATGACTAGGACCCTGGCCCTGCTAGGGGTGGCACCCGAGAAATAACACACACAGAAGCATCAATAAATTTCTAGCCAAGAGCTTCGTATTCAGGAGCCCGACTCCCTTTTCCTCTCTGTTGTCTATGAGGGGTTTTTGTTTTTTGTGTCTTTTTCAGGGTCGTCGTATATGTGCTGAGTGAACTCTACCACCCAGCCACAATTTCAGTCCTCTTAACTGGTGGGTTTTAGACAGGTGCTCTACTGCTGAGCACGGCCCAGCCTTTAGAATGGTGTTTAAAGTCCTTGTTTTCTTTAGGGGTGGGAGTGGCCTGCTGTGAGGTGGAAGTCAGAAGACAATGTGAAGGATTCAGTTCTTTCACCGTTCACATTCCGGGAACTGAACTTAGGTCATTAACAGCAAGCACCTTTGACGCCTGAGCCCTCTCGGCCGCCCTCTTAAATTTTACTCAGGGTCCAGGGTGGATAGTCTGTGTGGGTCAGGGAGAAAAAGCCCAGGCAGCAACTAAAGTGACGTTTGGGCTTTACAGGGGGCATTGGAGAATTGCCAGGTTAGGCTGGAGAAGGGAAGAACTGCCCACACTGGCAGGCCCGGTGGCACAGGCCTGGAACCCCAGCTCCTCGGATGCTGAAACAGGCAGGTGGAAAGCTGGAAGGAATCTGAGCTATAGCGTGAGGTGAGGGCCAGGCTCCGGAATGTAGTGAGATGCAGTCTCTAAGAAAATCAGAAAGGGGGAGCGGCAGAGATGTCTCAGCCTTTAAGAGCACCAGCTGTGCTTCTGAAGGGCCTGGGTCTGATTCCTAGAACCCACAGAGTGGCTCACAACTGTCTGCCGCTTCAGTTCCAGGGAGTACAGCATCCGCTTTGTGCTGCGGACAGGCAAGTGGTGCACAGATATAAATATGGGAAAACACTGAGACTCATGAAATTGTTTAAAAAAAATTAAAATTTAATTGAAGGGACTAGAGAGATAACTCAGTGGTTAAGGGCACTGTCTACTATTCCAGAAACCCAGGTTCAAATACTAACACCTACATGGCAGCTCACAACTGTCTTTGACTCCATACATGCACGCAAAATAAAAAAAAGGTAAATAAAATTTACTGAAAGAAAAGAGAAGCTGGGTGTTATGGCATATGCCTTTAATCCCAGTTCTTAGGAGGCAGAAGTGGCCACACCTCTCTGAGTTCAAGGCCAGCCTGATCTACATAGTGAGTTCCAGGACAGCCAGGGCTACATAGCAAGATCCTGCAATAATAAAAAAAATAAAAAACAGAAGAAGAGAAGGGAATATAGCTCTGTGGTAGAGTGCTTGCCTATCACATCCAAAACCCTGGATTCAAGGATTCAATCCCTGGTACTAGGGGGGAAAAATATATTTGCCCTGTCTTAATGGCTAATGATGTCTCTCCTTGGGAATTAATGCCTTCTTCTTCTGTTCCCCTGGATACTTTTCTCATGCCTGAGAGAGCCACTCCCATCTCCCTTCTCCTCCCATCTGCCCACCTATTCCCCCCTCTCTGCACCCAGAGGAGAATCCTCTTTGCACACAGTGAATGCCAGGAAGACTGCAGACAGGGTCCAACCCAGGAGGCTTGGTCTGAACTGCCACAAACCCCACAGACTTGACAAAGCTACTTCTCAATCCTCAGTGAAAACTTGGCCTACTGAGCTGGAGTTTTTTCTCTTCTTGCTTTCAGAAAACAGCTGCAGGGCTTTTGTTGTTGTTTTTTTTTTTGGGGGGGGGGAGTGGATAGTTTTGTTTTGTTTTGGAAACAGGGTTTCTCTGTGCAGCCCTTGGCTGTCCTGGAACTCACTCTGTAGACCAGGCTATCCTTGAACTCACCCAGATCCACCTGAACTCTGCCTCACAAGTGCAGATTAAAGGCGTGTGCTGCCACACCCAGGGTAGGTGAGATTTCAGTTTTCTTTTCTATTTGTTTTTCTATTTGTTGTGTGTGCCTACACTCTGGTGCATATATGCATGTACCAGGCAGAGCCTGTCACTTCTCCACTTTCAGTGTGTGGGTGCCAGGGACTGCCAGGGGCTGTTCGGAACTTTCCCCACTGAGCCATCTTGCTGGCCCACACCTGTGGTTTGGCTTTGTTTCTGCTATCTCAGTTTCTCTTTCTCGACATTGCCTCAGTGTTTAACAGATTTTCACTGGTACCTGCTCGGCACCCAGCACTCAAAGGATACTACAGACCAAGCAGAGAGAACCTTGGGACTTGTCCTCAGGGATGCCAGTCCAGGTGGCAGCAAGGAGGAGGGTTTGAGTAGGGAGGTAAGAGGCAACTAAGTGTAGGTTAGAAGGGCATCTAACTCTGGCCTCTGTGGGCGCTGCATGCGTGCGGAACACTCAGACACAAAATTAAATAACAATGGCAACAGAAAAGATCCAGGCCGGGTATGGCATCCCACAGCGCTTGAGAGATGGACATGGAGGATGGGCGTTCACGATGGCCTGCGTGTGCATGGAGATCCCATTAGGAAAGGTGCTTGCCGCCAAGCCTGACAGCCTGAGCCGGATCCCTTGCTTCCCTCGAGTTGTCATCTTACCCTAACAGGCACCTCATAGTACATATGGACCCAAAACAAATTAAGTGGTGTTTTTCAAATAAATAGGAAGTTTCTGGCCGACCTGAGCCACACGAGGCCTTTGACTCAAAAGCAAAAACAAAGGGCTGGAGAGATGGCTCTACGGTTAAGAGCACTGTGGCCCTGGTTTGGTTCTCAGGACCTACATGGTGGCTCACACCTTTCAGTAACTCTAATCCCAGGGGATCTGATGCCTACTGGCTTCTGCAGGCACCAAGCATGTACATGGTACATACACACAGGCAAAACACTCACACACATACAACATTAAAAAGAAAGAAAAGCAAAGCCGACCAAGTAGTGGCGACTCACGCCTTTAATCCCAGCACTTAGGGGCCAGAGGCAGGTGGATCTCTGTGACTTTGAAGCCAGCCTGGTCTACAGAGGGAGTTCTAAGACAGCCAGGGCTACACAGAGAAACCCTGCGGGGGGGGGGGGGGGGGGGGAAGAAAAGAGGGGAGCAACAACAACCAAAATCCAGAAGAGTCCAAGTCTGGCTGTCTCACTGCTGAGCGTTTACTGTGGACTTGCCTTGTATTGGACCCTTGAGATAAGGTAAGGAAAAACAAGTCCCGTGTTTACTTCTTAGAAGGTATTGGAGCCATTTTAGAAAAACTGAAAGCAAGCTAAACAAGGTGGTGCCTAAATCCTAGCACTAGAAGACTGAAGCAGAAGGAGACAGAGTCCGGGACAGCTTAGACCACAGCAAAAAACTCTTTCAGAAAACAAAAAAAAAAAAAAAAAAAATAGGTGCGGGTGTAACTCAGTGATACTTCAGCTAGCACCAGCTAGGCCCGTGCTCACCCACAAAAACAAAGCAGAGGGGGAATGTTCTGGGTCCAGAGGGACACACCTGCAACTCCAGGATTGAGGGGATGAAGCGGGAGGATTAGAATTTCAAGGCCAGCACCATCTACACGGGAGTCCGGCCTGGCTTCAGAAAGAGACGGTCTGAAAACAACCCAACAAAACGAAACCCGAAAGTGAACCCTAGAGAACAGGAAGGAGGGTGCCAGAGCCCAAATAGTGAAGAGCAAGTCAACCCTTCACTAGGAGACCGTGTCGCAAAATAAATAAATACAAATTTAAAAACCTCGGGGGTGTACAGCTTAGTCCTACGGTGCTTGCCCAGAAAGCTAGTTTGTTCATCCCCGAAACCAAAGAAGAAATGTTTGAGTTTGTCCCCAGAGCTTCGAGGAGCTGTAAAAGGCGAGCGGCAACAGGCAGACAAATCTGAGAAGGGACAGAGTTCCCGGGACCCCCAAGCTTAAGCACCGGCTCCCCCGCCCACAAATCGGGCTGGGGGTGGGGAGGCCGCCCTCCGGCCGAGGGGCGGGGCTGCGGTCGCGCAGGCAACGCAAGCCGCGTCATACTATTGGCTGGTTGTCCAGTGCGTCATCCCCTCTCCCCCGCCCTCCGCCTAGCCCGAGCCTTCGGAACTCCGGGGGGGCGTGGCCTCCACCGCTGCCCGGGCTGCAAATCCGCGGGGCCCGGGAGGATGGTGTCGCCCGGCGTCGCTCCGCGGTGGGGTCTGGGCCTGGAGCGAGGGGACGGCAGCGAGACGGGGGAGCGAGCACGCAGCCCAGTCCGGCGGCGGCCGGGGCCTGGCGGCCGTAGCTCCTCCTCGCCGGGGGCGCCCCGCGGCGGCCGGGTTCCAACCAATCGCGGCTCGCGGCTGGCCTCCGGGGCGGAGCCGGGCGGCCCCGGCCGGACCCCGAGGCCCGGGGAAAGTGAGGCGGACTCCTGCCCCGCGCGGCCGAGACGCTTCGCTGCGGGCCTGCCGGGGGCGGTCGCGGCGGCCCTGGCAGCCGAGGTGAGCGGTGGCCGTCGCTGTGGCACTCCCCGGGGGAGGAGGGGCGCGCCCGGGGGCGGGAGCGGGGACGGACCCGAGTGGAGGGCGCAGCTCGGCGTGACCGGGGGGCTCCGGAGGCTGGGGCTGACGGCTTCCAGCGTCGGCGCCGGAGCTTGTCGAGGCGGGGCCGGGAGTTCGGAGAGGCGCAGAGGACCTGGGGAGAACTTGATGGCGCGGGCCTGGAGGGTGGGACAGCTCGGGGCTCCCCGAGTGGGCGGCGTCCGAGGGACCCGGGTAGCAGAGGCGCCGGGTCTGGGGTTCTGCCGTCGTGAGGCGGGGACGCCGGGGAGAGTCGAGTCCCTGCGCCGGGCTGGGAGTTTGCAAAGGAGAGCGAGAGTGACTTGAATGTCGAGCCGACCGGGGAAGAGCGAGGACGGGGGCTCAGAATTGAGATACCCGGCCTCCCCGGCCGGACTGTGTAACCAGAGCTACTTGGGCGACGGGGGGGTGTGGGTCTCGGCACCCCGAGGACAGCGTAGGGAGGAATCCAGAACTTCCTGGGGTGATAGGGACCCGGAGAAAGCCGGTTTCAGGCTGAAGTCGGGTGGGGGAGGGGCGCTCGGGGCGGGGAGCGCAGATTCACCGCCCCGAAGGCAGCGAAGGGCGGGGCTTGGCGCGCGCTGGGCTGCTGCCTGTCCTGGCGCCCTTCC